CATCACCGTTGCTTGGCAGCTCGACTTCAACCGCACAGCCACACATGGACATCAAGGTGCCAATGGGTCCGGACGAACATCAAAGTTGCTATCCATCAAACATGTCACATGCTATGAAAGGGAACAGCTTGCAGTATGGCTTAGGTCTGATCTGTTTTCACCTCATCTTCATGAATCGTGACTATTTTCAGTTTCTTCTGCAGGTAATGGAGATTGTGTGTGGAGAAATCAGAGCCACAAGGTTTTAGACAATAAAACCTATTACAAACAGCAGACTGTATTCAAGAAGCTGGTTAGAATGGTATGGAGTATAGTATGGATTGTGCATTGTGTGGGTTGGACAATTTATGGTAAATTTGACTGGGATAGACGCAAGTAAATAAGTAACATTCAACTATTTGTTTTTGGAGTAAAGTTGCCGATATGACCACATTTGTAGTATAAAACCAGCAAGAGAAAGTCTAAGGATGGAAAGTTGTGAGGGTGGAAATATATGCACAGACACTGAGTGGCTGTTGCTCTAACCTGATAAAAGGGGGTAAAAATCTCACGTATGCTTCTGAGCAATGCAAAGCTTGTCATGTTTGCATCACTTTGCGCAATATTGCCTTATATTCGGCTACAGGCTACATGGTAATGTAGCCTAGCTAGTCAGCTAGCTAGTAAGCTAGCTAAGATTGGTTCATGTGATAGCAAAATTTAAGGCAATACTGCTTGACATAATGTAAACATGTCAAAAAGTTATAAAAGTTTGGATGATATGGCGATTTAATTTGGTCTAAAGCAGTTATTGGATACTCATATTTATACAGCCACAAAAGCAATAATACTTTTGGTTTTTCCTCCAGAGGGGCAGCTCAGCCAAAGAGGGCAAATTAACTGTTGCTTGGGCAACTTAAGTCTGGGATTGTTCAAGTCCTTGCTATAATGAGACTCAAAAATGCCAGATAATGGAAATATATTAGAGTAAACAGCACCCAAAGACAGAGTGATCAGACCCACTGTCTAACCACAGTAGAGTATACATTATTTTAACACACTGGACAGTCACACCAGTTAGGATGTATGCATGTGGAGTGTGGGGGTTCGGAAAATTGATATACTACACTAAATGTGTGCAAACAATGTGAGAATGAATGATTATCATCAATGAAGTGATTAACCTACAGAGCTGTATAGTGAGTTTCAGCTGTCTGACCCACAACTTTACAGACAGACACAGTTACAGGTAGCTGGTGAAAATAGTGGAGCATTAGCAGTTAGAGTACCAGATATTTCCCTCAGAAGCTGGTAGAGACCAATTACAGAGCTAAAAGAGAGTGAATATTGGACTTGGAAATGTCTGGCATATACCAATATTTTATATGTATATATTAACTCTAGTGCATGTGTCACCGTGAAGGTTAGGTAGATACAACTGTAGGTGACTGGTTTGTCTTCTGGCTCACAAAATGTATCATCAGCTGGTTGAAAGTTGGAACAGAGAAGGAAAAATCAGTTCATACAGAGGTGGAAAAGAAAGTTAAAAAGTATTCCCACACGTGATCTTTATTTTTGAATTTAAATAGGAAAAGTACATATGCATATACACTGCAATGATGACATGGTAGACTAAATGTTTATATTATAATCTTTTGTTTATATTCATTTTGTTCTTACAGTCAGATAAGCCAAAGGTTATACAGTACATGTAAATAAAGTTGCTCAATTGCTGTACTTCATTCCTTCCAGGTGCCATTGTTTCATCATGACTGTATTGCAGATTGTGTTTGTTCATACTATGCAACTCTGGTCTTGAATCAATAAATTTGAATCTTGTCATGGAATCTGACATCAGCAACATCGGAGTAAAATCCCAAGAGCAGTTTTAACAATGAATTTGAGACCTCAACTGTAACAAAATGAAATTGTTTGGTTTGACAATGTTTTGTGTGCTGCAGCTGTATTGGGGAGGAGATGTGGACATGACTGACTGGCCCTGCTCATTACTGAGGACTGATACCAGTACAGCCTGTGTGCACAGTGTTGACAGTAACATCTGGTGACAGTGAGTGACCATGGGAAGAATAAGTCATGTAGGGGGCACAAAAGAATATAAAATATACTCAGTTTTTAATCCTGTCAATTCTCTTAGACAGTGCACTGCGTGGTTCTTTGTAAATTTCATACCGGTAAAGTAAAAAGAAAATGTGCAAACTGTGAATCGGTGAAGCGTTTTCATCTAAACTTGGACGTGTTCAGTCACAGTGGCTGAGGTAAATTTAAAACAAACAAGCAAAACCAGATGAAACAGCGCCAACAGGTGCCATTTTGTGTGTCTTTATTGTGGACATGACATTACATCTTTTTGAAATGATGTACAAAAGTGTAACAGAACTGAGAATGGCTCAGACGAGGTAGAGCTTTCACATCGGCTTGCTGGCATGAAAACTACACAGTATAAAAACAAAAACAACCCAGAAAAAAATCAAATTAAACAAACTCCTGTCTGCCTCTGTCCTCTTATCCTTTTTGAAGTGATAATAAATACAGATATCAACCAAATACATTTGGAATAATAATGTCTTCTAAGGTAAATTAATCATGAAGTTCATAACAAATTTTAAAAAAGCAATACGGACACAAATAATACAACTTAAGAGGCATGATAAAAACCCAAAGAGAAATGAACAACACCTGCCAGCCACTCTGGGAGGGCAGCCATGACTAGCTACTGAACAAATCCTACAGTTTAGCAAAGAGAAAGACTAAAAACACACTCTTACATCTTTATGAAAAAATAAGCACTGCTGCACCTAGCATCATCAAACTTTCCATGAGGAAACATGGCTGTGTCACACAGCCGTCACAGAACAAATCATTTGTCATTAAAATCTATGGAATTATCCTAACAAAAAGCCTCTAAACCAGAAATGACATTGAAGTGTGTTAGCCGGCACCATTAAAAAGACATTCTCAAAGAAACCTTAGCTAGAGTTGGACAACATGAGAATGGGTAAAGCAGTAACCTAGTCTAAGTGCACTAGTAATGCCATTTGGTTTCTACCGCTGTATATAAGGGTTTGGTAAGAGTGGATTACAGATATACAGTTTATATTACATACACTCACTCCTGCTTCATAGTTTTTCTAAGTCACACTTCGGAGTACAAATTCATAACTGAGCAGTTAATCTTAAAGGGAATTCTGTACAACATTGGTATTAGTACTACACTACCTCGAAGGCTAGAGTATCCGTTTCAAGTATTTTCACTACCCACACCCTCAATATACACGTTTGTGTATTATTAGGCATATTCAAGCACACAGTACTGTATGCATAACTCAACAACCCACTGCTATAGCAACCATTTCATCATCATGTAAAAACTACTGAGGTCTCAAAATAGATGGGAAATACAGTACTCTGTATGCTATGTGATCTTTAACTGGTTTAAATTCTGATTTTACGCATACAAAGATGTCTCCGTAAATCCACAGTTCTACTTTTGCTCTGTAAGTCGGAGCTGCTTTGAACTACCTTGCTTCTCTTCTTCTTTTTCCCCAATGTGGCTTTTTCAATCATGGAGGAGAGTTAAAACCAAGCCCAGGACTCAAAGAAAACATCTTCTCTGAGCAATGAACAGTCCCTGCTTCATACCAGCCAATATACTTCAAAACAGGCTTTCATTGCAAAGGAGGTAGGCTAGTATACAAAGCATCTATAGGGAGGCTGGAGTACACAGAAGTTAGTCAACCTCTCATACAGTGTGGAGAGGTTTGAAAAGAATGCACATACACCCGCATAAATGCACACTCTCACCCACACCTGTGTTAAGGCTGTGATGGCTCTACAATTCAATAGGCTTCCAAACATCTCCATCTTGTGTATTCAGACCTGAACTCTCTGGAAGCCTGCCCTCCTGACCTGTGGCTGCTTTCTCCCTCTCTCTCTCTGACTTCCTTACTCTTTCCTCCCAGAATGCAAATCTTCACATCACCATTCAAAAAATTAGACTGACAGCATGGGAGTTAAGCTCACTACTCTGCTTAAACATATATACATAAATACGCTAGTTCACTTTCTTGCTGAGGGATGGATGGGAAGGGATACCACTCTCGGGCTATAGCCAGCAGCCAGTTAGCTTAG